CTGACAAAGCCACTGGTAATTGATTCATTCTGTGCTGCTAATACAATTTTTCTTTGTGTGTCATAGTATGGTTGTTCTTGCCTCCTGCTAGGTTAGCCTGAATTCTGTAACGAGGATGGAGTAACCAGAGCTATTTATTGCAATGAAGATAGATTTGGGCATTTAGGGCCTTTTATACAGCCTAGTTTCAGCTGCTGAAAGTAAACTCTCATATGTTGATGTTCCCCTAAAGAGTCATAGACACGCTTAGACATGGTGGAACGTTATATTGGCTACCCTTATTCTCAGAACGCCGCATTGATGGAGCTCTGTTCCATCTGGAGCTCCAGACAGCTTAAGTAATACTGATTTGAGTACTTCTACATAGTACTGCATTGCTTAAGGTAGAAAACCCCAACAGACCAACAATTCTGAATGAAAAACTATGTCAAACTAAGATTTAATACTGATTTTGTTAAAAAGTCCAAACAGGGTGATTTCTGTGCTTTGTTCCATATGAACTCACGTGAGTGAGATCCGGAAATTTATTGGGAAGAGTTTTGTGCACTTTTTAGTTGTTGTCTGGGTGGGATTTTCCACAGTTTGTTACTTCTGGCATGAAATTGAGAATTTCAGGAAAATTCTCAAGAGTTCATGCTGGTTTTAAACACAGATTTAAATTTTAACCATGCACCTGAGGTAGATGGAAGTTTTCAAAATAGAGTAAGAGGAAAGATTTTAGTAAGACATACTTCTTTTAAAATTTTGTGAGAAAACTGTAATATTTAGCTGTGAAAAACTGGAATCCAACTCTCAGCCTGTCCCCCATGCGTTACACAAAGGCATCACATGGTTATACCTGATCTCATGAAGTTTGCTGTGTAATTTCATTATTTTTTTTCAGAAGCATAGAATAAGTAGCCCGAGAAATCACTCTTTACTGATTTTTATGTTATATAGCCCAGTATACAAACTGTCCCATAATGCAAATTGAAAGTTTTCCCTTTGTTTTAAGAGTTTGCAAGTAATATTAAAATTGCTATTGGTAAGAAAATAGAATAAGCATTGAGGAAGAACTGTGTTTAAAGACGACATCTGCCTTCAGTAAGTTAGGGGAGAAACAAAATGTTTCAGCTTTGATAAAACCTTTGAGCTAAATTTCATATTTAACACTGCCAGCTATGAACTTTTAAAAACTTCGTACAAAATCAGAGTTACTGTATGCAAGTAAGTGATGCATATATCTATATATATTTGATTTAAGATTATCAATCTTATTTAGAAAATACTTAATTTAGAACTCAAATAACATTTGTTTTCCTGTTTGTGTGGGGAGTTTTGTGTATGTTAACGCAAAGATTGTTTGGTCATAACAGTAGGCGAGGTAGAGAATCCATGTATGTTCATGGAAGTGTACTTGTACCGTAATTGCCTTGTCTTTCAGATACTCTGTGCTATTTTGTGGTTTAGTGAGCATTTTGGTGAGATGAACTATTTGATACGTTTCAGCATATAATGAGTTTCAAAGATAACCTAGAGGATGGAGACTTTATATGGCTTTATTAAAATTTATCCATTTTTATTTAAAAAAAAAAAAAAATTGTAGTTACAAAATTTAACAGGGAAGTAGGGTTTGGACTGCGTAACAGTACCTGTCCATTGTTGTTCACAGTGATCTCTGGAACTATGTATCATTCACTGTGGGTACGTCAAGCTGCTGTACGTCTGAGTCGTTTGAAGTGATCTGCAATAAGCAGAGAGGCCTGTAGAGCTTTTCATATTGAAGGGATGGTAATCAATACAATTCTTACAAGAGTAAGAATTCAGTGAGTAGTTAACTAAAAGAAGGATGTGGACCAACTTCCAATTGTAAATGAGGCAGCAACAGTTGGATACACAGCCTTGCAGAATTTGTCACAGAATCCTAGAATGGTTTGGGTTGGACGGGATCTTAAAGATCATCCAGTTCCAACCCCCCTGCCATAAGCAAGGACACCTTCCACTAGACCAGGTTGCTCAAAGCCTCATCCAACCTGACCTTAAACACTTCCAGGGAGGGGGCATCCACAACTTCCTTGGGCAACCTGTTCCAGTGTCTGACCACCCTCACAGTAAAGAATTTCTTCCTAATATCTAGCCTAAACCTACCCTCCTCCAGTTTAAAGCCATTTCCCCTTGTTTTATCCCTGCCTGCCCTTGTAAAACGTCCCTCCCCAGCCTTCCTGTAGATCCCCTTTCAGGTACTGGAAGGCAGCTAAAAGGTCTCCCTGGAGCCTTCTCTTTTGCAGGCTGAACAGCCCCAACTTTCTCAGCCTGTCCTCATAGGAGAGGTGCTCCAGCCCTCTGGTCATACTCATGGCCTCCTCTGGACTTGCTCCAGTAGTCTATATCCTTGTGTTGGGGGCCCCAGAACTGGACACAGCACTCCAGGTGGGGTCTCATGTGAGCAGAGTAGAGGGGGAGAATCACCTCCCTCGACCTGCTGGCCACGCTTTTTTTGATGCAGCCCAGGATACGGTTGGCCTTCTGGGCTGCGAGCTCACATTGCAGGCTGATGTTGGGCTTCTTGTTATGGTGAGAAAAGGACAAATGGAAAGATTTTGGGATTAGTTGAGGACAGTCCCGTTGGGAAATGATGCAGGGACAGAAAGGCTGTTCCACCAGAATTTGTGGTCATCAGTGTTACCTATTCAAAAATACTCTGAACAGTTTTGATCCAGCAAAATGACTTTGTACCCATTCAGTGCTTTGTTTTACGTACCAGTGATAGTTCCTGTAAGGTAAAATGTTGTCTTGGTCCCTGATCAAGCAGACTGTCCCAGTTCCACTTCTGTAAGAGATCTATATGACTACCAGTGGGGTAGATGGCATAGATCTATTTTATTGCTTTAATGAGGATTTGTACTGTTTGTTTCTATATCTGTACTGACTGCGTAGGGTAAAGTGAACTGCAAGCAGTTCACAGAATATTTGAAAGCGAAGTAATTAGCGTACGTTGCTTTTAAGCTTGACTGAGTATAGAAGCTTTAATCCTCAACCCTTAAAAAACAGTATTAGGTAATACTGTTGGTTCATTGTTTATGCAGTATGATATTAAATATGATATTAAATTAGGTTAGAACAAACAGCTGCTGTTTCTGTAACTTGTTTTATTAAGAAAATTGAATGTTGGTCAGCACTTGAAGGCCATATGGTTCTTTCAGAAAGACTTTGCAACCCTTACTTCTACCAAAACAACACTGAAGATAATATGCAAAGAGTTTTTCATTTGGAACCTCATTCTGAGGTATTTGGTTAGAGGTCTTATGTGGAGATTTAAGAGTAATTATTTAATTTTCATGAAATCTATTAAACTTGCTCAGAAAGCTGTGTATACAAAAAATGGTAATTTTATGAGATATGTTACTACTGATACATAGTAACTATGTAGTGGCTGTCACTGCTAAGTGAAGATTAGAAGGCTGGTCATCAAACAATAAAAATGAAGCAGTGCTTCATGATAGCAGCAATTTTATGTTGCTGTGTTTTTGCATCTAAGGTTTTAATGACAAACTATTAATGACATACTACATTTAAAAGTTAATATGTAAGGTGATTTATACAATTACTTTACACAATACTGGGTGTGGTGCTGACATGACATTGATAGTTGAGTAGCAGTTTTGAAGTAAAAGTAGGAGGAAATGCTTTTTCTAGCACTGTCTGATCTTTTAGTGCTGGTTTACACTTTGTTGTCTTGTGAAATGAGGTAAGTGACAGAAATTAGTTCAGTCATATGCAATCTTTC